ATCAGCAACTATAATCAGGGTTTGTTACATTTTTTGGGTGAATAGTGGCCCCATTCAAGTAAGGAGAATTTTACCATTATTTTCTGTAAAATATTGCAAAGGACCTTCAACAGCTGCTTATAATCTTGTCATAGACATGTTTGAGTGAAAGTAATCCCATAGGGCTTTTATTAATAGAGGGTGATGGTGGAGGAGGGGATGTCTGTAGGTAAGAACTGTCTTTTGAGCAATGTTTGTGCTGTGACAGAAAAATCCTGGTTTGGTGACTGTCTCTAGCTCAGGTAACTGTGCTGCACTGGGTACAGCAAGATCATGATGGAGTCACCATATTAAAAGGATTAGGCAAAGACTGTTTCATGTATGTGTGCCCAGGCCTCCTTTCTCTCCCTTACATAAATGCAAACTGGGAGTAATTTTGTTGTAATCACAGAATGTGCTGTGTTGAAACAGACCCACAAGGAGCTTCAAGTGCAGTTCCTGCTGCATGGGACCATTCCCAAGAATCACACCACGTGTCTAAATGCTTCTTGAACTCTTTATCAGGCTGGTGCTGGGACCATTTTCCTGGGGAGCCTGTTCCAGTGCCCAGCCACCTTCTGGGTGAAGAATCTTTTTCTAGTATCTAACCTGAACCTCCTCTGACACCACTTCAGACCATTCCCTTGGGTCCTGTCACTGGTCATCAGAGAGATCAGTGGCTGCCCCTCCTCTTTCCTTGACATGGAAGTTGTAAGTTATAAAGCCCCCGTAGCCACTTCTCTTACAGCTTCCCCTCAAGGCCCTTCACCATCTCCATAGCTCTTTTTTGGATGCTCTCTAATGATTTAATATCTTTCTTATAGTGTAGTACCCAAAACCACACAATATTCGAGGTGAGGCTGCCCCAGTGCAGAGCAGGACAATCCCCTCCCTTGCCTGGCTGGTGATGCTGTGCCTGATGTCCCCAGGACAGAATTGGCCCTTTGGGCTACCAGGGAACACTGCTGACTCATGTTCAGCTTGCCACTGACCAGGACCCCTAAGTCCCTTTCCATGGTGCTGCTTTCCAGCATCTCATTCCCCAGTCTGTCTATGCATTCTGCCCCATCCCGGGTGCAGAATCCTGCACTTCACCTTGTTGAATTTCATACTGTTGGTGATTGCCCAATCCTCTGATTTGTTGAAGTCTCTCTGCAGGACCTCCCTGCCTTCAAGGGAGGCAACAGCTGCTCACAATTTTGTATCATTTGTGAACTTGCTTAGTATCCCTTCCAGTCCTGCATCCAAGTCATTCACAAAGATGTTGAAGAGCACAGGACCTAAAGATAGAGCCCGGTGGAGCCCCACTAGTGGCAGGTCATCAGTCTCATGTCATCCTGTTCACTGCAGTCATTTGTCTCTAACCCCTGAGCCAGTTGCTCCCCCCTCACATGATGGATTTATCCAGCTGTGTGCTGGATATTTTGTCCAGAAGGATACTGTGAGAGACAGTAGCAAAAGCTTTATGGAAGTCCAAAAAAATGGCATCAGCTGGCTTCCCTTGATCCACCAGATGGGTTACCTTGTCATTAAAGAAAATCAGGTTTGATAAGCATGAAGCCATGCTGGCTGTGGCCAAGAACTGCATAATAATCAGCTATGTAAACTAGAATATACAATTAGTCTCTAAGCTTTATCACAATGTTAAAAAACAAAGTGTGCAAATATCACTGCAGGTGATATTTGAAGGAGTAGACCCAGATATCAATTTTTTGAGACTCCGGGGGCTATGATCTGAATATATAGTTTGTATTCTGCATCTCAGAGCAAATCTGTATGCAACAACCCATGCTTCCAGCCCCCAGAGTGTAGATGTCTGCTGTGCTGCTTTTATTTCTGTATGCAGTAGAAAATCCAGTCTCTTTGAACCAGGAGTCAGTTGAGTGACTTTGTTTTTCAGGTCCTCACACAGTTATGAAAACCAGTTCCTGTTGGGCACAGAGCACCTACAGAAATTCAGGGTGGTGACATTTGTGCTGTGAATCAGAACCCACAGTCAAGTTTCCTTACAAGTTTTCTGTCAAGTTTTTTGTCACATTGGCCATTAAAATGCACTTCAAAAACCTTGGGTGATGCACACTTTTGTAAGACGCTCAACTACGTAGTTCTTAATAGCATGTAACAAACAGGTAGAGCTCGTTGATTTGTTCAAGATGGCCAGACTAGGAGTGCTGCTAGGATAGGGGCATGGGAAAAGGAAAGCAGATTTCATTGGTAGAGATAAAAAGGAACTTTTTTTATCCCCAGAATTAATGTTAATGAAAGGAAAGGCTATCCCAAGCAGAATAACAGCTCCTAAACTTGGTTCCCCCTACCCCCAGGCTAGACCCAGAAGACTGCAACAGGCAGCACCCTTTTAAGGGATATTCTGCCTTTTATTGGATGAGGAATTCAGCGGGGACAGAGGAGTACCCTGGCACCACAAGTCTTTGTGGCTTCTGAGTCAGGCAGTGGCAGCCAGATGCCCTCCAGCTTTATCTGCTACCCTTTTATTTAGGACAGGCAAAAATAATTTCAGGAGGAACTTAATTAAATTCCACTAGGTCACAGTCTCAGTGCAACTCATCTTCACTTCTCTTCCACATTTATAGTTGATAAATGTCTACAGCCTTCCTCATTACACACAAGGATTATTTCCAGAGATGCAGGCAGCAGGATACAATTCATAGGACAGTGAGATGAAACAGAAGGTCTTAGGCATAATTCTGCACTGAATAGTCCTTCACTTCCTGATACTACACCTGTTGTCTGTGTAAGATGGATATAGGCATCCCCTTCTTTGATGTTTGCAGATGACAGGTGTGTATATTAAAATGTTGTCAAGCTGCAGCTCTGAAATAACATGCCTAAACTGTTGGTAGACAAGGAGACAGGAGATGGGCTGCAGCAAAATACACTGGCTTTCTTATGGGCTCTTGGAGCAAGGCTTCTGAATTTATCAAGAAGGTTAAATTTGCAGTGCTTAACATTAACACGGAAAGTAAAATGATGCATTGGACGGATGGCAGCCTTGCTTTCAAGTCCCCATTACAGTGATTTTTGTGAAAAGGATGTAAGTTCTGGGCAGGATACTACTAGAACTAGCTTATTAAATTCATCCACACACCATTACCATTCTTGGTAACTTTGGCTTTGCTGGCCTTGGTGCCCAAGGGCAGTTTCCACCGCAGACAACTACATATCTGAGTGATCTTAAAATATCTTTCACAAAAATAAAGCTCAAGAACAGTTTTGCTTAAGTGCAGGTATCTCAGGCCTCAGTAATTTCTTTTTTTTGGTCCATTCTTACCAAATAGTAAATTATCTCTGTTCTGAACTGGATTTTTTTTCCTTTGGATTTCTCTGGCATATTATCTTTACATTTTCTATTCCTATGTGCATTTTGCCTTTTTCTCTTCCTGTTTCCCAGCTCATGCTCAGCATATATCTCCAGCCAATATACTGTTGTATTTTCTGTGCTTATTTTGCCATTTCCAGCCATTGGTACAGCTCCAGAATTTCTGTGTGTTAGCAGAATGGAGCTGTTTCCCCCAATTTATTGTTTGCATAGCTGTAGTGCCCTGGCAAGGCATCACTGTGTTGTACTGAACTGGACTGGCTGAGCACTGTGCCGTCTGTACACAGATTATTACCCTTCACAGTCCCATAGGATAGAAGTTCTTATGGCCCTCTGGGGTGCTGATGGAAGTGGTGACTATATATATATATATATATGTAGCCAGTATATATGGCTCCATGTTGCTGTAGTGATAGGAAAGTGTACTTTTGCATGCTGGTAGTAGGGTGTTGTGGATTTCTTTGGAGATTTTCACTCCCCAAGTGATAGTTTGGTTAAGAGCCAGGCTGCCCTCCAGTAGAGCCCTGTGTCACCCCAGCACAAGGCAGTCTGCAAAGCCTGGGATGTGTCTGGGCTGTTGCCTCTGAGGTGGAATAACAGCATAAAATGAGAAAGCCATAAAGATATTCATAATGTAAAATGAGATTTTCATCCCCACTGTCCTGAGCAAACTATCTGTATTATGCAAATATCAAAATGGCATAAACAAAACGGATTCTCCTTGTGCTAGAAGCAAGCTTTGGCTCTCTTGAGATATTTGATATATTTGATGCATTTGATATCAATATAATTGATACTGCACCGTTCAGAAATTTACCTCAGACTATTCTTGGTCTTCAGCTTGGGCTGGCAATCATGCAGAACATCCATGGGAAACATCTATATTTGACAAAGGGGGTTTTTTTTCCCTACCCCTGTGTCCAGTCTAGATGAAATATTTCCACATAGTGGCTGGGGAGTCCAGGATAGAATTGCTTCCCTAGGCAGTACACTGGGGAATATGACCCTGGATTTTTTTTGCCTGACAAGATGCCCAGGTGGTTCACAGTATATTGAACTGAAATGGACTCCAATACCATGTGAGTCCCACAGAAGTTAACTATAGTGCTATATAAAGTGGTGCATATATGTCCTTGATGATATATAACTTTATATATAGCTATAATTAGTTATATTTTATATTTTCATCTATAAATATCTATTTTATGTATTTAAATAGTTACATCTACATATAAAGTCAATGTTTCTTTATGTCTATAACAGTGCTATTTGACACAGGAGTCAAATTCCTAGTCCAGTTGTAATATGTACAGAGAGCAGATAAGTATAAGGTATATGGCAGAAACTCCATCATAGGAGTTTCTTCACACACTAATAAGAAAGAATGATCTTACTGTGACAGCTTACATAAATAAAATCATTTCACATGTCTCAGGGTTACTAGATAATGCCTCGGGCATGCACACAGAGTGGTCCACCTGGCTTATCTCACATTCAGTTTAACAGAGGGTTGCTGTGATTTCAGAAGGAGCAAGGAGCCTTCAGGAAAAGCATGTTTATATCAGCATTCATGTAGTGCACTGAGGGGCCTAAAGGAAAAGTGCTGGGGAAAAAAATGATGTGTTTTCTTTTTACTCCCCCACAGATTGACCATCTCTGCTGAATGTCCCATGCAGCTTGAAGATTTCCCCATGGATGCACATGCTTGCCCATTAAAATTTGGAAGCTGTAAGTTCTCTTGTGGAATAGCAACTAGAAAAATACCGTTTTCTGGCTTCTCATGTTCAGAAATGTTTTGTACAGATCTTTCACCCTCCTCCCCAGCCCTCCCCTTTTAACATGGTTCTTTAGCATTCCCATTCTGTCCCCCTTGCTGCTACCCCGCTGCTTCTTCTCCATGACTGTGATTTTTCTGAGTCTGCTGCTTTTCAACTCATGCCTGCATACTCCATGATAAACGGTGAGTTGATGGGTGATGTGTCTTATACATCCACACCAAGTGTAACAGCCACTGTTACATGGAGTTCTAGATGCAGGCAGCTAAACTGATAACTTGGTTTTACATTTGGAGTAGAACAGAGCTTTCAGTGGACTGATCAGATTGATGTGCAATTATTATGGTATTTACATGAATCAGACTGCAGTGCAATATCTGCATGGCATATATTAAAAGAGATCTTAGAATATTAAAAGAGGAAATATCTTTCCATTTGGCTTTAATAAATCCAGTCCTGTATCCTGTTACATGATGTTTAATACACATGTATTTGTATATATGCACACATTATTCTAAACTGTATGCTGAACGGTGATTTTTCCTCAATTCCAAGCCTCTAATCCACCACATTGCTGCCTTGCCAGAAGCTTACTTTAAAAATAACCCCAGGGAATCAGATGGTTATATTTAAAAACAAAGCTCTTAATTAAAGTACAAATGAGGCTACTGCAGTAGACTTTTTTTTTTTTTTTTTTTTTGGTAATCAAATCAGAGCTTCCAGGTGCAATAATTTTCTCTGAAGACTTTTGATAATTACCAGACAAGGCATTTTGCTAGCCCCTGAAGCCACCTAACTTCAGCATTTTGCAATGTTTTTTGGCCATATCAATTTAGAGTCACTAATCCTAGCAAGATTAAGCTTTGCCTTTATCGTCTGTATCTGCCCTGATTTAATACTCACTATACATTGTCTTCTAGTGAGCATGCTAAGAAGTAAAAACACTGCTAACAGTAGCTATACCACATTACCAAACTTGAGATGAACTGATTTCCTTTCCCTCTTCCAATCCAGAAAGATTCTTTTTCATCCAAATAGCCACCAGTATTTTGTAAGGTCACTGCAGGTTCAAGTGTGTTCATTGACTTCAGCAGCATTAATTTACAGCAAAGCCAATATAAATCTGAAGGTCCAGACACCTTTACATTCCACTTAAAAAAACATGTATACAAATCACCCATTTAATTGAACTTGAAAATGGGAAAACATCTCACAGGAGACTGTAATTGTTTATATCCAGGGTTAAGTAAAAGCTACTGGAAAGAATAAGACAAAAAGAAGTTTTCTTTCCTGGTATTACATATCGTTTAGTCTCTCAATAGATGAAGTTACATCTGTTGATTTCTAGTCTAGACTAGAGAACTGGTATGTTGTGTACTTCTTTGAAATACTGCAAAATACACAATACTAAAACATACATATTTAAACAAAGCACCTGATGCAGCAGAGATCTGAAGCTCAAAGTTAAATGGATATTTCCATGTATTAGTAGATTAGGTGCGGTAAGATACAGGTTCTAACTCCCCACATAGTAAGACCAAAAAAAAGCATCCAAATCAAACATGTGCATGAGGTAACATTACAAGATAAGCTACAAATGCTTAGAAGGAGTGCCCAGTAATCTGTCTGAATGTAATTATATGTCCTGCTAGTGCCAAATGTGTTACATGTTAATCACCTCTTAGCACACAGGTAATTTTAATCTGTGTCAAAACCAGCACTAAGGATTTCTATTTTAGGTCTGTGAGGGGTGAATAGAGTTTTGGTTTATGCTCTTTGCCATGCTCAGAATAAAATCCTAGAATACGTTTATAAGGTATTACCAGTCACCTTTAAATTCTTTCACAGTGTGTAGACATGGAACCGTTTGGTCTGTGCTAGCCACACCACTGGCAGAAAAAAGTAAATATACAGAGACAAGCTTTAGACAGTCTCTCGGCCTTGGGAATATCTGTATTACGATCTGACAGCTCCCTGCTAATTTATTGGGATTTAATATGCTTATGTTTGTACAAGTAGCAACCAGTATATCAGGGTTTATTGAACTAGTCGAGGTGTATTTTAGGAGAGGACGATATTTATTCCCTATTGGCAGCAGTATGGGTTTGCATTGAGTCATGTCCAGGCTTGCAGCAAGACAAAGCCTACAGGGGAATATGATACATAAGCACATACCCTTTGTGCTTTAGCTTTCCTAACTGTCTTTCTCTAAAGACTTTATTTTTTAATGGTGTTCTTTCCGAAAAGGTTTTTGGAAAGCCTCAAGGAATAGCATCAAAGTAAATGTTAAACACAGTATCAATGGAGCTGGGGGGTGGAGAAGAAGCTGGTGGTAACCAGTCTGAGGATGAAGAGGGCAGGGCAGTGAAATGAAAGAGCTGGTGCACGGCAGATCAGCAGCAGAAAAGGGTGCTAAGGAGAATGATCAGTGTTGCAGCAGAGGCAGGAGCAGGTTATTAATTTTCTGGCTGCACGAGCATTGACTATGTTTGCTATAATTCAGCAGGCAAAAGGCAAAAAGTGCCTGATGTATCCTTCATTATGAAAGAAAATGAAAATTATTATTTCTCACATAAATAAAGGTAAATGTTGAATTCTTATGTCCTATTTGACTGATTCCTTGCTGCATTAGAATTGTGGGAGATTTCATGGGCCTAGGAAACCTGATATGTAGCAACAGAGTATTTTGTAGAAGTAATTAAAAGCCCGGTCAAATACACAAGATGTGATATAAAGTTACCTGTGCATTTTTAAACACTCTATGGCATGTCATGAGAAGGACAGAAGTTCAGGGACGGCTTCTAATTAAATGAACAGAGCAGGTTTTAGTTGTCCTTTTCTTAAGTACAGTTCTGTACTGCTCCGAGATGGCGAGAACAGGTGGCTCTACTCCAGGAGTACATGTATGCAGGTACTTTTCCTGCAGGATTGCATCCCTGCTAGGGGTCAGGACACCTGTAGAAATTATCCTCCAGAAGTCTCGTTTAGAGGGAACTGGGGATGATGCATGAGCAGGCTCGGGGGTCTCTGCAGCAGGCTCTGCTCCCTTTGCATCCAGAGTGCTCGATGGGGATTGCTGTGACAGTCTGTTCATGCTACCTCGTGGCAGCATGGGAAGGGTGCTGCTTTCTTCCATGGCCAAATTTAAAATAACTTCACGTTGCAATTCTAATGCTGACCTGTACCCTAAATAACTTTGCTGGTCAAACAGGATATAATGAAAATTCCTGATGCCAGAAGCAGTTTCACTAGTAGCACCTTAACCCAAGAAATTTGATCTTAACCCCATGCTATTTCTAGTGTGGGGAGGAAGAATTAGATAAAATAGCAAGGACATTAAAGCTTCCCATCTTTAATGTTTCACCTCTTCCACTGACAGTCCCTAAGAATACATTAAGAGTATAATTTAGTACAGTTTCGAAACTGTCACCAGGTGTCACCAGGTGGGTAAGCATCATTATCTCTAGGGCAGCTGAAACAGAGAAGTTAATTGACTTTCCGTAAGGTCATGCAGCAAATCAATGTCAGAAAAAGGATTAGACTCAACGTCTTTGGTTGGAGAGGCAGATGTCTAATCCACTAGATCATGAAGACCTCTGCCCAGGCAACTGACTTAACTCCTAAATCTCATTTCACTCTTGTGTTAATTATATCGGTGTTACCTACCTCACAGGGTTGCCCTGAAGATGAATTCGTTAATTGCTGTTAATTGGTGCTTTGACAATATCAAAAACTGTAAGGTGGAGTGTGTTTATGACAACTGCCTCTTGAAGACACAGTGCCTGAGTCCATGGAGTTATCAGACCTTGTATTGTGGAATGGATAAATACATGAAGCAGCTGCCCACTAGTCACTCAGCAGCAAAAACACCCCATATTATTTTTAGAGTAAGCAGAGAGTTTAATGCATATTCTGAAAATAATGAGATCCCTAAGCTCATGAGCACAGGAAAAAGAGGACCTGCGTTCATTCCTGATGAATTTTAAGTCAGCCATAAAGATGGCCGAGGTTGGTGGCTGTTGATCAACAAGCAAGCTTTCCAGCTCTTGGTAAGGAAACAATTTGTAATGCCTGGAGATAGTAGCTAACATAGTTTATGTACATCTTCCTTTTCAACACCTCAAACAAAGTCACAGTTTGACTTTTGATAAAGGAAAGTGCACAGGCTATTTCTGTAGCAGGAGATATGCTCAAATTATTTTCCTCTAATAAGCGTGGTGAAGTCAGAGTAATGAGGAGACAGTAACTTCACCAGTATCCCAGATTTTATTGCAACACTCATTAAGACACTGACTGTTCACAAACTATCCATTAACTTGTAGCCACTGCGAAATTTCTCCAAAAGAGAAGGTATTTTAAGAAAATTTCTCTGATATTTCCTTACAATGTAGAGAAGGCACTGAGGTGAAGGCATCTACAGGGTTTTTCTTGATTTTATACTTTTCCCCATTAGCACCTGCAAGAACTGCAGGAAAATGACAAGTATGGAGGGAGAACTTGAAAACAGTGTCCTTCTAAACAGACTTTAATTGTGATTTAGTAAAATGTGATAAAGAATGTATTCAGCCTCTCAAAACTTATGTGTAAAATCTTGTATAAGGATATAATTAAATGAATAATAAAGACAAATGTTAATTATAAGAGACTCTGAAATGTGGAAATGGCTCTTAGGAAGGTTTTCATAGGTTGGTCTCAGGGACTGCTGGAACTGCAGATTCATAAATAGAGGCAGAGCTTTTCTGCTACTTGCCCCTACAGCTGGACAGAAGAGGCTCCTTGAATCTATTCCTGAGAGCAGAGACAGTCAGCACAGCTTGTTGACTCTGCTGGGATGCATTAGTGCCTTCCTTGTGAAAGGACACGTGGAGAGGGCCAGGAGGACCCCTGTGAAATGCTGAGCAGCCAAGTTCAAAACTAAGTTGTGATTTTGCAATTTAAGGCAGAAGTCAGCTA